TCGAATCCACCGCCAGGTCGCGGGCCCAGTCGCTCACTCGACGCCCGGTGACACGACACTCGAAGGTCGGCTGCGCACACGCCCGAGTGACAAAAGCCGGCGCTGCTCCTGAACCCGGCTCACGCGGTACACACGCGATACACACGCGGGACACACGCGCGGCGACAAGGGCGCCCACAAGCCTATTCCGAAGCACACGGTCTGACGATGGTCTTCAGCATCTCTGCCAGTTTAGCGCAGCCGTAATGGCGTTGAATGGGCCTGACAGGCATGGCACGAGTGACGCCGGCCTCTCGGACTGGTGGCCCTCTTCCAAACGCCGATAGACATTCGGTTTGCCTATTCTGGGGGCTGTTCCTCCTCCTCCTACTCTTCTTTTTCTACTCCTCCTCCTCTTTATCATACTCCTTCTTCATCTCCTTTTTCTTCTCCTTCTTCTCTTCTTTTATATCCTCTTTCTTCTCCTCTTTCTCCCCTTTCCTCTCCTCTTTCTTCTTCTCTTCTTTCTCCTTCTCCTTCTCCTTCTCCTCTTTCTCCTCTTTCCTCTCCTCGTCCTTCTCCCCTTTCTTCTCCTTCTTCTCTTCTTTTCTCTCCTCTTCCTTCCCCTCTTACTTCTCTTCCTTCTTGTCCTCCTTCTCTCCTTTCCTTTCCTCTTTCTCCTCCTCTTTCTTCTCCTTTTTCTTCTTCTCTTCCTTCTCATTCTCCTCTTTCCTCTCATATTTCTCCTCCTCTTTCCTCTCTTCTTTCTCCACTTTCCCCTCTTCCCTCTATTTTGTCTTCTCCTCTTTCCCTTCCTCTTTCTCTTCCTTCCTCTCCTCTTCCTTCTCCTTCTCCTTCTATTTCTTCTGCTTTTCTTTCTTCTCTTTCCTCTCCTCTTTCTTCTTCTCTTCCTTCTCCTTCTCCTCTTTCTCCTCTTCCTTCACTTTCCTCTCCTCTTTCTCTCCTCTTCCTTCACTTTCTACTTCTCCTCTTTCTCTTCTTTTCTCTCCTCTTCCTTCCTATCTTACTTCTCCCCTTTCCTCTCCTCTTTATCCTCTTTCTTCTCCTTCTCCTCTTTCTTCTCTTTCTTCTCCTTTTCCTTATCCTCTTTTCCTTCTTTCTCTCCTCTTTCTTCTCCTCTTTCTACTCCATTTTATTCTCCTCTTCTTTCTTCTTCTCTTCCTCTTTCTCATTCTCCTCTTTCCCTTCCTCTTTCTCTTCTTTTCTCTCTTACTTCCCTTCTTTCTTCTCCTCCTCTTTCTCTCCTCTTCCTTCCCCTTCCCCTTCTCCTCTTTCTTCTCCTCTTTCCCTTCTTCTTTCTTCTGCTTCTTTTTCTCTCCTCTTTCTTCTTCTTTTTCTTCTCCTCTTGTTTCTTCTTCTCTTCCTCTTTCTCATTCTCCTCTTCTTTCTCCTCTTTCCTTTCCTCTTTCTTCGCCTTCTCTCTCTTCTCCTCTTTCCTCTCCTCTTTCTTTTCCTCTTTCCATTCCTCTTTCTTCGTTTTCCTCTCTTCTTTTTTTCCCTTCTCTTTCTCTCCTTTTTCTTCTCTTTTTTCTCCTCCTCTTTCTCCTGTTTCCTTTCCTCTTCCCTTTCTTCTCCTCTTTTATCTTCTCATTCTTCTCCTCCCTTTTTCCTTTCCTCTTTTTTCTTCTCTTTATTCTCCTCCTCTTCCACCAACATCATTTCAACAGGACGTAACCAGGCCTCTTTTATCACACTTGTTGCTCCGTTCTCAACCTCGTCCTTAACACCTTTGTCAGGGGTTTTCACATGACGAG